TGTGTGTGTGTGTCTTTTACAGCTGTCCGTTTTTGTCTTTGTCTCAGCTGATAAGCTCTATATCGTGATGGAGCTCATAGAAGGAGCTCCGCTGGCTGAACATTTCAGCTCTCTCAAAGAGAAACGGCAGACGTTCACCGAGGAGCGAGTCTGGAACATTTTCATACAGGTGAGCAGCTTGACACTCACACGGAGCAAGAGAAATGTGAAATTAAAGTGAAGTAAGTTCATATTGAAAACTCCACAGATCTGTCTGGCTTTGAGATACTTACACAAGGAGAAACGGATCATCCACCGAGATCTCACACCTAATAATATCATGCTCGGCGAGAGAGATAAAGTCACTATTAGTGAGTTAATTTCACCTTTTATCTGTCCAGAGCATCATATGAATATATAATGCTGGATATGTAAGTATAGGTATAGTATATGTAGGGGCTGTTAGGCTTCTACACTGCTTCACACTGTATACATAATAACCAATCTAATCTTTTTTCCAGCTGACTTTGGTCTTGCTAAACAGAAGCAGGAGAACAGTAAGCTGACGTCAGTGGTTGGGACAATCCTGTACTGCTGGTGTGTACTGAAATCTTTCATTTGCGATTCTCAAATACAACCAGCTGAACTTGTGTTGGAGTTTGAGGTGAAGCTTATTTTCTGGGTTTGTTTGGTTTGTGTGTCAGTCCAGAGATCGTGAAGAACGAGCCGTACGGTGAGAAGGCAGATGTTTGGGCCGTGGGCTGCATCCTCTATCAGATGGTCACCCTCACACCTCCATTCTTCAGCGCAAACATGCTCTCGCTCGCTACCAAGGTGACGGGTTTACCACATAGTGGAGAAATCCGGGGGAGGCAATGCATTGGATAAGAATTGAGGAGTTCATTTGCAAAAACCGATAACTCCATTTTTATTAATTTTTTTCAGAAATCAAGTTTTTTTAATTGCGCATTCCAAGTAATATCAATCAAACTGCAGTTGGGTTGTTTTGATTGAGCAATAATAACTTAAACAAATACAGGTAATTTACAAAATTAATGTTCATTGAAAGTATGTTTTTTTTTTTACATATTAAAAGTTTGTTTTATAGCAAAAGCAGATAACTCCCAACAGTCGTTTTTTGACAAAAGCAGATAACTCCACATTTCTTGTTTTAGAGTTTAGAAAAACACTGGTTTAATCTTTGTAATCTCCTCAGATGACAATGTAGATGCCTGACAAACGTTGTTGTTGTTGTTGTGATCATAAACTGTATGGATGTGATTACACGCAATACACAGAGCTTTTCCCTCACCATTGTAACGCGCTGCTTTTGCAAGCTTCCGTGAAAACGTTTCAGCTTTCATTTTCCTTTTTCGCACCCTGAAGAAGATATCTCAGGTTCATCAAGTTCGTCGAAATGATCCATCCTCGATCACTTTTAGTCAGCTTTGACGAAAGTCCTCTCACAGTGTTCCCAGAAATGTCCAAGAATCGTACCAGAAGCTCAAAATGATCGTATTTTTGAAGAAATTATTGTACAAACGTGTTCATCATACTTCCGTCGCTTTGATGCACACAGGCCTTTGGTTTTTGCAGTTAACGTTAATCAGTGTTGCCAGATTGGAAATGTCCAAGTATCGTATCAGAAGCTCAAAATTATCGTATTTGGAAGAAAATGATCATACACGAGTAAAAACGTACAGAATACAGCTATTTATCTACTAGACTAAAACAACAACTTTTAGACACCCTACAAATTACCACAATAAATAAATAACTATGCTAGGGCACTATGAAATACATTTTATTTTTTCCCAAATTCCAAATTTTTTAATTTTTCCAATTTTTTAAAATGGTTAAATTACATTTTATTAACCAAAAGCATGTCTAATTAAATAATAAAACATATACAATTCAACATCAAATCTATTAAAAAGTTTAACAAAAATTATGTTTAGGGTCTTATTAATGTTCTATTTTTTTCACCTTGTTTATTGTTACCAAATTCTGTGTTTTAATATGTCTAATTATTTGAATGCATAAAAACTACTTTTATTTATAGACTTATGTTTTTTTTCTTTAGAAATTCTGCATTGTGTATTTTAATTTTTCTGGTTATCGAATGAAGGCATAACACATTAATTTAATTTATCTTTTAATTAATGAAAATTAAAAAAAAAAATTTGGCAAACAAAGGGGATTTACAATTAAAATTAAAACATGGAAGAAATATTGTGATTATTCCTTAATAATTTTAGTAGTAGTAGTTGTACGTACATTCTACTGAACAATAATAATACATTTCTGGCAGAAACTATATATTTTTGACTCTCAGAGCAGTTCTGGGGATGTTATGTCCTATTTAGTGAGAAGGCAGATGCTGAAATCAC